TCGTTTTCTCCAGGGCATAGAAGAAGCAGCAGCTGCGATCCATCTCCCGAAGGAGGCGGATGCGGGATCGAACAAAGGTGCCCCGGGCCCGATGGTCCTCGAGCTCCTCCTGCTTCTCCCAGCACGGTACGCAGAGGAGCGGGTCTTCGGGGCTGGCGGCCAAACGCCTCTCCAGCTCTAAGACCTCCCTTTCCAACTGCTCTATCGCCGCATTTCTCCATCGGCTGGTGCCCCGGGTGTAGTCCCGGCAGAAAAGCCTGGCGCGCACCTTCCCCAGGTCCCATCATCGCCGCGCCGAGGGAAAGGCACGCCGCTGCCCTTGCCAGGCCAGCCAGAATTCCCGGAAGGACGTCACAAAGCCCTCATCCTCCAACAGGCTGTTCCTAAAATGCCAATAGGCCAGCCCCGGCCTCTCCGCACAGAGGGAGGCTGTCACGGTGGCTAGGTGATGGTCAGAAAATGGGGCCAGCCGAATGCTGGAGGAGTGGGCTCGTGAGAGATGGAAGCGTGATAAATAAATGCGGTCCAACTGGGAGTGGCTCGACCGATGGGCTTCCACCCGGACAAAGGTGAATGTGGAAGTGTCATCCGGGTGGTGGTCACACCAGATATCCACTAGGGAGTGATGTTCAACTATCTCCCGGAGGGTGTTTGCGGCCGCCGGGCTCTGCTCGGTCCCCGAGCGGTCTCGCTTCTCAAGGGTGGTATTAAAATCCCCTCCCAGGACCAGGCACTTGTGAGAACCTAAGGTGCCAAGGAAAGCGGACGTCTGCTGATAGAATTGCAGCAGCTCCGGGCCTGATGTCGGGGCATAGACGTTAACCAGGTTAACCATGAGCCCCTCTATACGGACCCGGAGATGCAGCAGGTGATCCGGTATGGCCTCGGCGACCCCTAGCACCTTGGGCTGTAGGTCGGGGGAGAACAGGGTCGCCACTCCAGCCTGCTGAATCGTGGAATGGCTAACGTAGACCCTGTCCCCCCCTCCAGCCGCCAACTGTCTTTGGCGGTCGGATCCGTATGGGTCTCCTGCAGGAAAATCACAGAGTACCCTCCCTCCTGAAGAAAGGAGAGCACCTGGGACCTGCAGAGAGCCATCCTACAACCCTGGGTGTTCAATGTTGCGATGGTGACAGGTGTCATGCGGGGGGCTGGGGGGAATCCTCACTGGCAGGGACACTCGCATCCCCCAGCGGGCCGTATGACAGTCATTGACCCATCCCGTAGGTCAGTTATTGGTCACGGAAGACGCGGACCCACCAGTAGGCCACAGCATCCTGCTTCCCCGTCCCTTTACCTTACCCCATGAGGGCCCTTGTGGCCTGGAGGATTTGAAAAAAAATCCCCCCATCGCTGGAAAGCAAGCTGTACCTTGTTGCGGGAGCCACGGACATCCTCTAAAAACTTCCGCAGCTCTCCTTGCAGCTCATGGGGGCGGGGGGTGGGGTTACAGTTTCCCGGTTGTTTCCCGGCAGGGCCCTTGGTGCAGCCCTGTGGTCCACTAAAACGGACAAGCAGGGTGCGGACTCCCGACGGGGTGCCTGATGGGCTGGAGCTTCTAGGCCCGCCTCCAGCTCTGGGGCGATAGGGGGCAGTGGAGGGAAGATAGCAGCTCCTAATGGGTCAGGGCAGGAGAACACAAAGGCCGCTCCCTGGGGGTCATCAGCTGGGAAAGGGAAGGAGACAGCCCCGGGGGGTTGCAGGAGGTAAATTGGATAGGGATAGGGTCAGCGGCAGAGGCGAGGTTCTGGGTTTCAGGAGGCAAGCAGCTGAATGGTGGTGCCTCCCGATCAGGCTCAAGGGTTAAGGGGGTGGGGAGGGACACTCTCAGGGCAGTGTCTCAGGACACTGGGCACGCGCTCTGTGATGGATTTAGCGGCCACAGCATCAGGAGGTGGATTATCTTCTGTAGGGCCCCCGCCCGGCAAGGAAGTCGATTGCTCCGCACCAACGGGGGGTGCCCCTGGCGACTTGTGCCCCGGCCACGTGGCACCGGCTGTCACCTGAGCAGGCTCAGTGGTCGTCAGTGGGGTGCCATCAGCGGCTGGTTCGGTGGAGGAGTCCAGGGGCTCCTCGGAGGTGGGAGCGGAAGCAACAGTTAAGGGGATGGAGCATGGGGAAAAGAGGGGTGGAGTGAGGTCACCCAGATCGAGATTTGCTGGCAAAAGTTCATCCTCCCCCTGGGCAACCGGGGTCAGATCTAAGGCCTTCAATCTCCTCAAACATGGAGGAGAGGACACTTTCCGCCGCCCCAGGGTTCTCCCCACCGGCACCCGCCACGACGGTTGTCTTGGGGTTCACGGGGGCTTCGGGTAGCATCAGGACAGAAGGGGCTTCCTCGAGGGTCTCGGACGGGTGGGCCTCCCATGGAGGGGAGACACTACCTTCCGGTGCTGCCATGTCTTTCCCGGCTGACACTGGTGGATGGGACGCACTCGTGGGCAAAGCGGAAGGTTCGGCATCGGTGCCCCCCTTCCTGGTCTTCCGGGGGGCCTCTGCCTCGGATAGATGAGGTGGAGCTCGAGGCTTCCACTTGCCTCGCTTCCCCTGGTCTAGGGCCCAGCCCTCCATGGCATCATCTGGGGGCTGGTTAGCAGGGGTCGTGTCAGGGGGTAAAGGCGATGGCTCAGGGACTTGTGGGGGGGACGGTGGGGCGGCATAAGGGAGGGAGGATTCTCCCTGGGGCAGGCTCTCTCCCACGCCTGGTGGTATCTCTGCCACACTCTCCTCCATAGGCCCCGCTAGATTGTCAGCAGCGAGGGCGGGGCTCTCCACTCGTCTGGGCGTTATAGGGGAGGTGCCCCTTGGGCCTGAGCGGAAGTAGCAGTGGTCTGAAGGGGAGGGGGGCGGGTTCGGGTAGTGGGCGGCCAGAGGCGTCGGCAATGATGGGGCCGATGTCCTGCCGGGTCTTGGGGATCCCAGGTGCCCCTCTTTGCCAGGCTAAGGGGCAGTCCCTCTGGACATGCCCCGACGCCCGGCAGAGGTAGCACCGGGCTTCCCCCGTGGAAAAGTACACCCGGTAACGGGCCCCGTGGTGGGGGACTAGGAAGGACCCTTTGAGCGCCACTCCGTCGCATGCCACCAATGGCAATAAAAGTTGCCGGCGGAAGGAAAAAATGTGACGGAGGGTGGGGTCTTTGCAGCCCAACGGGAGAGGGCTGATAACAGAAAAAGGTTTCCCCAGGGTGGAAAGGGCGGGTAGCAGGGCAGCATTGGGGAGAAAAGGAGGGACGGAGGTCAGGACCAGGTGGACGCCCAGGTCCTCTAGCGGCTCTAGGGGGACAAACACCCCCCCCACCGCCAGGCCCCTCTCCACTGCTTCCTGGGCGGCAGCCTCCGATGCTAAGAAGAAGACGACCTTCCCGTACATTTTGGAGGCCGCCACAATGGCCAAGGGCCCCACCACCCTCGCCAACGCCCGAACGTAGGTCTCCACGTGGGGCGAGGTGGGCACCAGGAGGCATCGGACACCGTGCTTCCTTGTCATGGTGGGGAAGGGGCCCCAGCCGCTATTGATGGTGGCGGAGGCAGTAGGCGGGAGAGATGATGAGGTGGCAGGCGGGGGGCTGCCGCCGTCTGGGCATACGTCCTGGGGGCTGAGGGAGGGACATCCACAGAGCTGGTGGAGGAGGCAGCGGGGGAGGACGCCGTGGTCGGTGGCGGGGCTGCAGCAGTGGGGGTGGCCCCTGCCATGGAGGGCCCGGTGGTTTTAGCGGGGCCCTTCCCCTTCTTCTTGCCCTGGCCTTTCCCGCCGGCTGGAGGGGCTTCCCGAGAGCCTGGGGAGGCGATGGGCATGGCAGCGGTGGAGGTCACAGCGGGGGCGGTGGCAGGTAGTTAACAGGAGTTGGGGTCAGATAGAACGGGACAAGCTGTGGGATGGACAATTTGGGGGGGGCACATAAACCACTGTACGCTTGTCCAGAGAGTCCTGTTTGGTTGGCTGGTGCTTCTGGTCCATGCGGTGGAATCAGGGCGAGCAGCTGAGTCCAGAGGCAGATGTTAGATAGCCAGCAAAGATGGCGGGGGGGCAGTGAGGAAGGTCGTAGTGTGGGGGTTGGGAGGACACAGATGGATCGGGGTGCAGCTCCGTGCCACACCCCCCATGTCCTTACAAACACAATTAAGACACAGTCAAGGCCTCCCCCCACATGAGAGCACAGTTCGAAAGTTACTCAGTCTTAGGCCCCCTCCATGGCGATTTGTAGATTCCCCAGGTGGTGTTCCTCTGGTGGATGGCTTTTTCTCTGTCTATTCCGGGTTTTCTTTTTTTCAGCAACAGCATTCCAGAAATGCCGGAGTAAGTGATAAGAGTCCTCTCGACCGAAGATGGGTCCGCAGACAAACAGCAAGCGGTTGGGTCTGGGTCCTTCCACTCCCCCACTCTGGGGAGCGGGCCGGCAGGCCCCCCCTCTCTCAGGGCAGGGTTTCAGTTGGAGCGGCAGCAGCGTCTGAGGGCGGGCAGAGGGGAGGGGGGGCTAACAGCCGGCCAGCAGCCGGCCAGCACTCTAGCAACAGCAGGAAAGAAAAAAAACCAACAAAAAGAAAAGAAAGGGAGGAGAAGGGGGGAGAGCATCTGGCCCGGTCGGGGGGAAGCCAAAAGCAGGGGCAAAAAGCAAGGAAAGCCCAGGCCAGAGGGCAGCAGCAGGAGAGCAGGCTAAGTAGGTCCCTTTTCCCTGGGTAAGGTAACAGGGAAGGTTTTTTTTTTTTTTATTGCAACCTTAACTTTTTAATGCAAGTTTTCTGTGTGTGTAAAGTCAAGTGTGCAAAGTTAGGAAATGCCAGAGTTAGGGTTGCCTGTGCACCATTAATTCAGCCCCTTTGTGCATACGTTTTATGAGCTAGTCTTTAATTAGGTGACCACAGACTATTTTTTCCACAGGACCTCTTTTAACATATATATATTGTGACAGGGTCAGGCCAGATGGCTACAGGAGAGTGACAGAACGCAGATATATTAGCCCCAGGTTAAGTAGGTCCCTTTTCCCTGGGTAAGGTAACAGGGAAGGTTCCAGAACAATCAGGAACGTTCTGGAAACAATTAAGGCAGACAGACTGATTAGAACACCTGCAGCCAATCAAGAAGCTGCTAGAATCAATTAAGACATGCTAATCAGGACACCTGGGTTTAAAAAGAAGCTCATGCCAGTTTGTGGTGTGTGTGAGGAGCTGGGAGCAAGAGGCACCAGGAGCTGAGAGTGAGAAGGCGTACTGCTGGAGGACTGAGGAGTACAAGCATTATCAGACACCAGGAGGAAGGTCCTACGGTGAGGATAAAGAAGGTGTTGGGAGGAGGCCATGGGGAAGTAGCCCAGGGAGTTGTAGCTGTTGCACAGCTGTTCCAGGAGGCACTCTAGACAGCTGCATTCCACAGGCCTCTGGGCTGGAACCCAGAGTAGAGGGCGGGCCCGGGTTCCCCCAAACCTCCCAACTCTTGATCAGACGCAGGAGGAGTTGACCTGGACTGTGGGTTCACAAAATCATATTATTTAAATATTAAGTCCCTGTAAATTTTATGTTATTTTATTTCAATGCCTAGATCTCATGCTCATTAGTACTCCGCAAATACTTGTGGTGGATAGTTAAACAGTAGGCCTTATTCTCCTCTCAAAAGCAGTGGTTTTACATTGGATGGACAGTAGAATCAGTACCCTTATCTACCTAGCATAACCAATATCTATCACAGGTATTTATAGAGTGCCAATGACACTTTAGTCAGTTTCACTGTTACCCTTTATAGACCATCAGTTACTCCCTTGCTGAAGAGACACTTATAAAATTATTGCTGGTAATGTTTGCAGATGATAGGAAAATTGGTGGAGTGGTAAATAATGATAAGGACAGGTCAGTTCTTCAAAGTGAGCCGAACTGAATAGTACACTGAACTGACTTGAACAACATGATTTCAGTACAGTTAAATGCCAGGCCATACATCTAGAAACAAGGATTATAGGTCACCCTTATAGGATGGGGTGGGGGCTGTATTTTGGGGAAGTTCTGTGGCCTATGTTATACAGGGGGTCAGATTAGATGATCACAATGGTCCCTTCTGGCTTTGGAATATATGAATCTACGACTCAGAAAAGGACTTAAGAGTCATGGTTGATAACCAACTGAACATAAATTCCCAGTGCAATGTGGTGCCTAAGAGATCAAATGCAATCCTTGGATGGATAAGCAGGGGAACACTGAGTAGAAGTAGGAAAGTTTTATTACTAGTGTATACACCATTACTGGAATGCTATGTTGGTTCAAGTGTCCATACTTGGAAGAGGATATTGAAAAATTAGAAATGGTTCAGAAAAGACCTACAAGAATCATCTGAGATATGGAAAACATTGCTTGCGGTGAGAAATTAAAGAAACTCAAGTCTATTTAGCTTATCAAAGATAAGGTTAAAGGATTCTTGATCATGGCCTAGAAGTACCTAAATGAAGAGAATGTTTATGACAGTAGAAGTCTCTTTACTTTATCAAAAGCAGAACAAGATCCCATTGCTGGAAACTGAAGATTGACAAATTAAGACTAGAAGTAAGTGCAAATTTTATAATGAGGATAATTAACCATTGGAACAACTTATCTAGTGATGTGGTGGATTCTCCATCATTTCACGTCTTTAAATCAAGAATGGGTGTCTTTCTCAAAAATATTCCCTAGTTCAGTGGTTCCCAAACTTGTTCCGCCGCTTGTGCAAGGAAAGCCCTTGGCGGGCCGCGCCAGTTTGTTCACTGTACCCAGAGGATAAGGAAGAATTAGCTAAGCACCACTTTGCCGTGTTTAGTACGTCCCTCGGCCCGCGCCACTTCCAGCAGCTCCCATTGGCCTGGAGCAGCGAACCGCAGCCACTGGGAGCCGCAATCGGCCGAACCTGAAGATGCAGCAGGTAAACAAACCGGCCGGGTCCGCCAGGGGCTTTCCCTGCACAAGTGGCGGAACAAGTTTGGGAACCACTGCCCTAGTTCAACAGAAAATTATGGACTTGATGCAGGAATCACTTGTTGAAATTCTGTGGCATGTGTTTGTGCAGGTCAGACTAAATAATCACAACAATCTCTTCTGGTCTCAAATTCTATGACTGCGAAACATTAACAGGGAAGCAGAAAAACCCGTATAAAACCCTGCTGTGTGTCTGTATCAGGCTGATTTTTTTTGGAAAGTATATATCTGTTTTTGGAAATGGTTACAAAAGAACCTGAGAAGCAAAAGGCAAACGGACATGCGTCAAACGACAAAAAGCAAAAGCTTTTAAAAGCAAATGGACAAACTATGCAAGGAAAAAACAATTTAAAAAAGGGAAAACTGGGGTAAAAACTTTAGGTGTGTATCCCATTGCCCCCCTCTTTGTGGTCTGTGTGTTTATTTATATTGTAAATTCGTTGTGGCAGGAATCGTTCTTCTCTTGCATCTGTAAACTGTATATCTTTGGGCAATATATAAATAATACTAATATTGAAATAACAGAAGGTAGTGAATATTGTAAAACATTTAGCTGGCAAAATGTAATGCTCCTAATGTGGAAGAAGCTCTTCTTCAGTATGCACATGTATCTTTTATTAATAAAGCTCAAGATATGCTTAATTACTATTAACAAAAAGTCAAGTGGCATTTACCTCCCTCACATAAAGCCACTCCTGCCCTCCAGAAAACCCAGAGAGTTCCCCAAGTTATGCTCTGTTAGCCCGTGCCTAGATTTCACCTTGTTTTATAGTGATTTACAGAAGGAGCTTGTCTGGTCCAGCTTAGTCTGATTCACTTCCTTCACATGAATCAAGTATGATCCAATTTACCATGAAGCTGGGACTTGGGCTACGTTTCCTTGAACAGCTGTTGATCCCTAGCTCGAGTCTGTGCTCCGGTGGTTCAGCACATTTTGTGCTCACCCTGCCATTCACAAAGTGCACCCCAGAAGACTGACCCCCCTCCTTTCTTCCATGATAACGGGTAGGGAAAAGGATCAGGAACACTCTTTCAGTAAGAGATCACTGTACCCTGTGGATAAGGAAGAATTAGCTAAGCACCACTTTGCCGTGTCCATATTTCCAATCTGATTAGGCTTTTTTCCCTGGCCAGGTTAGGAAAATTGGATGTTGGGTTTATTTTTTTGTTTGCTAGGACTGTGTGTGGACTATTTCAAGAGCTGAGAGAGGAACCTGAACTTAACACAGATGTTCAGGGAGAAGTGAGCATATTCAGTCTACAACTAGAACAGGAGTACTTGTGGCACCTTAGAGACTAACAAATTTATTTGAGCATAAACTTTTGTGAACTACAGCTCAGTTCATCGGATGCATGCAGTGGAAAATACAGTAGGGAGATTTTAGATACACAGAGAACATGAAACAATGGGTGTTACCATACACACTGTAATGAAAATCATCAGGTAGAATCATAGAATATCAGGGTTGGAAGGGACCTCAGGAGGCCATCTAGTCCAACAGCCTGCTCAAAGCAGGACCAATCCCCAACTAAATCATCCCAGCCAGGGCTTTGTCAAGCCTAACATTAAAAATATCTAAGGAAGGAGATTCCACCACCTCCCTAGGTAATGCGTTCCAGTGTTTCACCACCCTCCTAGTGAAAAAGTTTTTCCTAATATCCAACTAAATCTCCCCCACTGCAACTTGAGACCATTCCTCCTTGTTCTGTCATCAGCTACCACTGAGAACAGTCTAGATCCATCCTCTTTGGAACCCCCTTTCAGGTAGTTGAAAGCAGCTATCAAATCCCCCCTCATTCTTCTCTTCTGCAGACTAAACAATCCCAGTTCCCTCAGCCTCTCCTCATAAGTCATGTGTTCCAATCCCATAATCATTTTTGTTGCCCTCTGCTGGGCGTTTTCCAATTTTTCCACATCTTCTTGTAGTGTGGGGCCCAAAACTGGACACAGTACTCCAGATGAGGCCTCACCAATGTCGAATAGAGGGGAATGATCACGTCTCTCGATCTGCTGGCAATGCCCTTACGTATACATCCCAAAATGCCATTGGCCTTCTTGGCAACAAGGGCACACTGTTGACTCATATCCAGCTTCTCGTCCACTGTAACCCCTAGGTCCTTTTCTGCAGAACTGCTACCTACCCACTCAGTCCCTAGTCTGTAGCAGATCATGGGATTCTTCCATCCTAAGTGCAGGACTCTGCACTTGTCCTTGTTGAACCTCATCAGATTTCTTTTGGCCCAATCCTCTAATTTGTCTGGGGCCCTCTGTATCCTATCCCTACCCTCCAGCTTATCTACATCTCCTCCCAGTTTAGTGTCATCTGCAAACTTGCTGAGGGTGCAATCCACACCATCCTTCAGATCATTTACGAAGATATTGAACAAAACCGGCCCGAGGACCAACCCTTGGGGCACTCCACTTGATACCAGCTGCCAACTAGACATGGAGCCATTGATCACTACCCATTGAGCCTGACAATCTAGCCAACTTTCTATCCACCTTATAGTCCATTCATCCAGCCCAGACTTCTTTAACTTGCTGGCAAGAATACTGTGGGAGACCGTGTCAAAAGCTTTGCTAAAGTCAAGGAACAACACATCCACCGCTTTCTCCTCATCCACAGAGCCAGTTATCTCGTCCTAGAAGGCAATTAGATTAGTCAGGCATGACTTGCCCTTGGTGAATCCATGCTGACTGTTCCTGATCTCTTTCCTCTCCTCTAAGTGCTTCAGAATTGATTCCTTGAGGACCTGCTCCATGATTTTTCCAGGGACTGAGGTGAGGCTGACTGGCCTGTAGTTCCCAGGATCCTCCTTCTTCCCTTTTTTAAAGATGGGCACTACATTAGCCTTTTTCCAGTCATCCCCCGGATCGCCATGAGTTTTCAAAGATAATGGCCAATGGGTCTGCAATCACATCCGCCAACTCCTTTAGCACTCTCGGATGCAGCGCATCCGGCCCCATGGACTTGTGCTCGTCCAGCTTTTCTAAATTGTCCCGAAACACTTCTTTCTCCACAGAGGGCTGGTCACCTCCTCCCCATGTAGGTAAGGTGAGCTATTACCAGCAGGAGAGGAAAAAAAACCTTTTATAGTGATAATCAAGGTGGGCCATTTCCAGCAGTTGACAAGAACGTGTGAGGAACAGTAGGGCAACGTGTGAGGAATCAGCAGCACTGCTATGGGTACCCGCATGGCTCCACAATATGCCAACATTTTTATGGCTGACTTAGAACAACGCTTCCTCAGCTCTCGTCCCCTAATGCCCCTACTCTACTTGTGCTACACTGATGACATCTGCACCATCTGGACCCATGGAAAAGAAGCCCTTGAGGAATTCCACCATGATTTCAACAATTTCCATCTGTGAAAGTAGAATGAATTATATTGAAATTATAATTCATTAAAGAAATGCTACTTGAAGGGTTTGTTGAAATATAGTTGTCAGGAAGAGACACATTAAGGAGTGTGAGACAATGGGTCCTCAAACGAATTAACTTAGAGCTCCTACTGAGCTAGGAGATTGGTAAACGTTAGTATGCAAATAAGATATGTATGTATATTTGTCAGTTTCTGCTTTCTTTTGTCTCTTACGTTAAATTGGCTTTGGCTTAGCTGTATAAATAAGTTATCTTGGGCCTCAGAGAGGGGCTCACCTCTGGGTGCATTAGCAAGACGCTTTGCTAATAAACAGAGTGGTCTGACAAATTATGTGAGTCCTGAATCTGACTTTGACAATTTGGAGATGGCAGCCATCTTCACTGGGGCCATGTGACTCCTGAGTGTTCTTAGGATGGCCGTGGCAAGCTGGCACCTGGTCATTTGGCCCAAGCGGTCCTCCACCAGAACGGAAGGGTGCATGACCACAGTGAAGTCTACGCCATCGAACCTGTTGGTTCCCACTCTGTTCTGGTAGGGATCCCGGGATCTGACATCAGGAATCTGGTCAGGTAATTATTTCTGTGTTTTGTCCGGACTGAGGACTGTCTTGTCTCTGTGTCTATCCATCCTCCCTGTGGTGTGTTTGAGTCTGGGTGCCGGGGATCAACTGACCAAAGGGTTCCTGTCCCCACGGTCTGAGTGAGTGAAATCTGCACAATCGCAGCTGCACCGCGCCTTGGGTAAAACCCTTGGGGTAATTCACTAGCCTGACTATAGAACAGCCTGACTATAGAACAAAATAAGTACAGCCTGGAGGTAATTCTTCTTTTTTTCCTGCAATTAGCAAGGAAATTTGTAAAAGAAAGTGGTATTATTATTAAGCAATAATCTGTCCCCACCATGGGGGTGGAAATTGTTTCTTTTGTTTTTAGACTCTACAAGCAAGCTGGCGCCAGCGGAAGAATAACTCAGAATACCATGGATCTATGTTTTGTGTTGTTTGTCTGTGGTGTTTGTCTTGTTGCTAGCATTGTTGTGTTTTAATGAACAGAAAACCTCATGACATGGGTGGGGGATGGCTTCAAAAGGCTGACCTTGGGGGGGGAGGGGAAGATGTGTATGGGAATGCAAAAGGCTAACTCAGGAGAATCCCAAAATTCAGTGGCCTCTGTTAGGATCTTGGGACAAAGACCAAGTAGACATCTTAAAAG